CAACTTGGTGAGACCTCATCTCCACAATAAATCAAAAATCAGCCGGGCGTGGTAGCGCGCGCCTGTAGTTCCGGCTACTTGGATGGCTGAGGCGGGAGGATCGCTGGAGCCCAGCAAGTCGGAGGCTGCGGTGACCGGGAGCGGCCACTGCACTCCAGTCTGGGCGGCAGAGTGAGACTCCAACTCAGAAAGATAAAGTGTAGAGATTTCTATTCTTGACCCAAGATGGGGGGCCCCAAAGTTGGGTCCAGCCGAGAGGCCACCTGGGTTCTTGGCTTGGAGCAGGAAAGAATTCAAAGCGAGCTGCCGCCATAAAGCAAAAAGCAAGTTTATTAAAAAGGGGAACAGAAAGCAGGCCACTCCACAGGCAGGACCCCCGACATCACCGGGGTCTCCGTTGGGAAGTGAAAGTGAATTGAGATGACAGCAAGTGGCCACCCACAGGGGTGTCTCACCTGGTTTCATGTTTAAGGCTCTCTCTTGACTGTAGGCTAAAGGAGGGGCGGAGGGTTCCTGGGTCTCCTGGGAAAAGGTGGAGATTTCTAGGAACTGGGGTCCTCCTAGGTTGTCACCATAAACAGCAGGGTCTGTCATGGGCGGGAGGGCGTGTCACCTGGCATGCGGATGTAGGATCATGAGTGCGTACTGAGGCCAGGGTCTGGGAGTGGGTGGAGAGGTGGCCATCTGGCTCCAGCTGGCCCTCGCTGGTTTTCACCACATCCGGTTTTTCCCTGTGGGGTCTCGGAAAACCAGGCCACCTACCTGTCCAGAGAAGCAGTCTCAGCCCCGGGTCCTGGGAAGTGGGCCTCATTCATCCTAGGAAGCCAGCCCTGTTCTGTTCCCATCTGGTGCTCCCAGCCTGGAGGCTGGGAGGCCCGGAGGCTGAGGTCGCGAGGTCGGCGGGTCCACGCTCCCTCCGAGTGCGCTAGTCTCATCTCTCCCACGCTGTGGGGGCGCCGGGCGTCTTTGGCTGCGCCCACACCACTCCAGCCTCCACCTCTGCCTTCAGGGGGCCTTCTCTGCGGGTGTCCTGTAGGGATGCCTGCGGGTTTTTGGACCCACCCCTGGAATCCAGGATACTACCCCCTTGAACCCCGCGGTGATGTGTGCAGAACCCCTTTCTCCACATGCGTTGACACCTGGGGCTGGGATGTGGTGTGTCTCCAGGAAGCTGTCGTTCACACCCATGTTGGGGGGTTCAGGGACAGCCCCCTTCCGCCCCTCTGACGGCTCTCCAGCGCCTCCGTCAGCGTCCCTGCCCTGGATAGGTAGCCTCACTGATCACACCCCCTCCAGCAAGTGAGTCTTCGGGCCGCACCTCTACGGGTCGCGTTTTAGGGCAGGGAGTCTGACTGAAGCCGGTCGAAAGGCCTCGCTTGGCCTCTGCTGCTGGTCGACTTCAGCCTCTGCAGAGGACCTCGGCGTGGGCATCGCGTCAGTGCTGAGAAGCCAGGGGTCAGGGGGTGTCTCCTGAAGGCCTCTCCCGCCTCCGTTAAGTCCTTCTGCGCTTCCCCCCAGAGCTGCAGGCGGCATTTGACGTCATCTGTGACAACGTGGGCCGAGACTGGAGGAGGCTGGCCCGGCAGCTGAGAGTCTCGGACGCCAAGATCGACGCCATCGAGGACAGGCACCCCCGGAACCTGACGGAGCGGGTGCGGGAGTCGCTGCGAACCTGGAAGGACACGGAGAAGGAGCAGGCGACAGTGGCCCACCTGGTGGAGGCGCTCCGGGCCTGCCGCATGAACCTGGTGGCCGACCTGGTGGAGGAGGATCAGCAGACCCGGGCCCTCCACAGCAGGGCCGGGGCCGCGTCCCCGATGTCCATGGACTCCGACGTGTCTGCCGTGGAAGCCTCCTGACGCAGCGGCCCTTCCCCGGGGCCCAAGATGTCTGCACCACCCGGACTACGGCGCCTTCCACGGGAGCCAGCACCTTTCCTGCTCGACCGTGAGGACCCGCCGGGACCTGGCGGGTGCAACCTTGGAGCCCCAGCCGCCTCTCCTGGGCTGCCTCCATACCGCTCAGCGCTGCATGGGGTTCCCATTCTCCCCCACTTTGGGAGTGGGGTCCACCGTCTCCGCCGCACGGTACCTGCAGGGGAAAGCAGGAGACGCGTCAGGCACATGGGAGGAGTGAGTCAGCAGCCGTGGTGCGCTCCAGAAGGACATGGCTCTGAGGCCAAGGGACTGACCGGCGGGAGCCTGGTGGGGGCTGGGCTGGACCCCATGCTGTCCGGCTCCATGGCCCACACTCTGGCCACCGCAGCACTCTGCCCCAGGTTGCAGGGGGCTTGCCTTCTGTTTCCTGGGGGCCAGCAGGGTAGACCCGGACACTGGGATCGGGTGGCGGTAGGGGGTGAGACATCCTGGTCTAGGAGGGCGAGGCCTGGCTGGCCTTAGTCCTGCTCTTGGCCCCTGAGTGAGCCACTGTCTCCAAGAGCGACGGGTGGTATCTGTGAAGTGCTCTTTTTTCTTTAAATCTTTTCCTTAAGAGACAAGGTCTTACTGTGCTGCCGAGGCTGTCAAACTCCTGGCCTCAAGCAGTCCTCCCAGCTCAGCCTGCCAAAGTGCGGGGATGACAGGCATGCGCCACTGCATCCGGCTCGAAGTGCTCTTAGAATTGCGATGTGTCACCGTTTAGTATCGGAGTCACTCTTGGTGGTGACAGATTGGCAAGGAGGTGGATCCCCGGGACCTGGAAAGCAGGCCCTGCTCAGGAGTCCTAGGAAAACCAGCTCCTTCACAGGGGAAGCCCGCACGAGACAGGACTGTCCAGTCCCGCTGGGGCTGCTTTCTCTCAGCCGTGCTAGGAAATCCCAGCACAGCTGACTTCGGTGCCTTGCAGTCCGTGGACTCTGGCCTGTGAGCAGGTAGCTGACTGTCCGACGGCCCCCTACGAGCACACTGTTTGCCCTCAGCAAACAATGGCCACGGGCATCGCTTCTGCTGCTTTCCTGACCTGTCTGCCCCCAGAGGCGTCAGTCCGCCAGGCAGCCTTCCCCCGGCGACCTTGGGAGAGTCGCACGTGCCGTGCTGCGTCATCTTGACCATGGCTGCTGAGATCTCAGCCAAGGTCGCGGGAGCCCCGTCCTCTTAGTTGTGGAGCTGGCCTTTTCCCCGCCACACCTTCACCAGATACGCCCGACATCAAGCACGTGCGGGGGCAGCCGTGGCAGTGAACGCCACAGCAGGGCCTGCCTGTTGGGCCCAGAACCAGGCAGCGCACGACCCTGCACAACCCGGGGCTGCAAGGAGCCGCAGGCCATGCCTCCCTCCGCCGGGCCTGTCCTCGGAACCAGGGTTGGCTGGGTTCACCAGATCCGTAGAGCAGACATGTCACCTGCACCACGTGTTAGCAAGGGTTCCTTAGTGCTAGGAGGAGGCTTTCTGGGAGCTGGGAGGGATATGTCTGCGTGAGAATGTGAGACCACACCTAGAATTGTCCCCCGCCTGGGAGCAAGCACTGGCCGGGACTCGGTCCCCATATGCTGCTGGCTTAACTCCCGTGACCCGGCCCTCGGTCCTCGGACCCGCTGAGGGTCTGGGCCTCCTCTCGGCACTAACTTTCCAGCGTTCCCCCAGGGGGGTGCGAGCTTCGGCGCATACCTGGGCCCCGCTGCCAACCTGGCTGTGACCCACTGTGGGACGACCTCTCCAGTGAGGCTGGAGATGGGATCCCAGATGCTGTCCCGCAGAACATGGTGATGCCCGTGCACAGCTGCCCCCAGAAGATGGGCTCAGGGCCACGTGGGAACATGGTTCACTCAGTTGGTCCATCAGTCCATTCACAGAGCAGCCGCCCACCCTGGGTGCTGTCCTCAGGAGGCGTAGAATCTCCCCAGCCGTACAGGGCGAGGGAAGAGTGGAAAACGGAAATGCATTCTCAAGTGAGAGAACGGGCTGATGGTGGACCGATGGTGGTGGCAGGTGTTTGATCATGGCAATCACTTCCTGGATGATATACTTATTTATACTCTGTATGTGCTCTATTTCCTGTTTCTCAGCTTTTAAAGTGTCCACCTTTTCGGTGGTGAGAAAGCTAAAATAAAAATTGAGCTGGGCATGGTGGCTCATACCAGTGATCCCAGCACTTTGGGAGGCTGAGGCAAGGGGACTGGTTGAGCCCAGAAATTTGAGACCAACCTGGACAACAGCAGGACCCTGTCTCTACCCCAAAAGTGTGAAGAAAAAAAAATTAAAGCCAGGCTCGGTGGCTTAGCCTGTCATCCCACCCCTTGGGAGGCTGAGGTGAGTGGATTGCCTGAGCCCGCGGGTTCGAGACCTACCTGGGCAACTTGGCGAGACCTCATC